CACAACCCGAGGGAATCCACTCCTCTGCCCCCATGCGCTGCTGGTTCCCACCCCCCTTTAATCCCCTTGCACATCAATAAATCCCCCCAAAATAGTAACTTTCTGGGTGTGGGGTTTGTTTTCTCGCCCCCCAGGGTTGGTGCGGAGAGGAGGTGGCTGGGGGACAAAGGCGCGAGGAGCTGCAGGTGAGTGGTGAGTTGGGGAGGGGGTTTGGGGGCTGAGGAATTAGGTGCTGAGGGGTTGATAAGTCACCTTAGGAGAGAGGTAGTTTGGGTTGTTAAGGGGTTAATTCTTCACTCAGCTGAAGGGAGAAGGAATTTTGGGTGCTGAGGACTTAGTTCTTTGGTCACCTTAAGAGAGAAGGCTTTTGGGTTGCTGAGGTCTTAGTTTTTCAGTCACCTTAAGAGAGAAGTAGTTCAAGTTGCTGAGGTCTTAATTCTTCACTTACCTTAAGAGAGAAGGAATTTGGGTTGTTGAGGTGTTAATTCTTCACTCATCTTAAGAGAGAAGTAATTTGGGTTGCTGAGGTCTTAGCTCTTCACTCATTTTAAGAGAGGAGTAGTTTGGGTTGCTGAGGTGTTAATTCTTCACTCAGCTTAAGAGAAGGAATTTGGGGTGCTGAGGTGTTAATTCTTCACTCAAGAGAGAAGTAATTTAGGTTACTGAGGTCTTAGCTCCTCACTCACCTTAAGAGAGAAGTGTTTTGCATTGCTTAGGCCTTAGTTTTTCACTTACCCTAAGAAAGAATTAATTTGGGTTGTGAGGTCTTAGTTTTTCAGTCACCTTAAGAAGTATTTTGCCTTCCTGAGGTCTTAATTTTTCACTCAAGAGAGTAGTAATTTGGGGTGCTGAGGTCTTAGTTCTTCATTCACCCTAAGAAAAGTAACTCAGGTTACTCAGGTCTTAATTCTTCACTCACCTTAAGAGAGAAGTGTTTCGGGTTGTTAATTCCTCATTCACCTTAGGAGAGAAGTATTTAAGAGAGAAGTATTTCAGGTTGCTGAGGTCTTAATTCTTCACTCGCCTTAAGAAATGTTTTAGCTTACTTAGGTCTGAGGTATTCACTCACCTTAAGAGAGAAGTGTTTTGGCTTTGTAGTTCCAGGTTAAGAAAGGAAGTGGCTGAGGAAGAAGTTGTGTTTCACCCTCAGAGTGTGCTGGGAGCAAGGCTGTGCCAAAAGCAGCTCGAGGAGGCCGTGGTGTCCTGAGCAGTGAAGTGAATAGAAGGCTGAGGTGACTGGGGTAGTGTATCCATCACAGCTTGGCACTAACAGAGCGGTGGGGGAAGAGTGGGAGAGTAGGAGTGGCTGGAAGAACTCTCCCATTCTTTCATCCCCTCTCCTTACTACCTCCTTGCTGTCCCCAAAGCATCTGTTACTCACAGCAAGCTGCAGTAGGAAAACCTGCTGCATTTTTTTCTGTGGCTTCTGGAGAGACCTGCAGAAGTCGTGAGCAAAAGCAACCACTTCAACAGGCTTCTGAATTCATTGACCTTTCCTCAAAGCGGCTGTAAACCCAGGTTTTCTCTTATCTTTTGCTGTGCTTCAGGTGAGGAACATAGTTGTCTCTTCTTGCTCTCAGGTCCTGATGCTTCTCTAGCCGTGTCCCTCTCCCTGGAGTCAGCATGTCTAAGGAGTCCAAGGACCCACTTTCCCTGTCCGACTGCCAGTGCCAGATCTGCATGGAGATCCTGGTGGAGCCGGTCACACTGCCCTGCAGCCACACCCTCTGCAACTCCTGCTTCCAGCTGACGGTGGAGAAGACCAGCCTGTGCTGCCCCTTCTGCCGGCGCCGAGTCTCCTCCTGGGCGCGGTACCATGCCCGCAGGAACAGTCTGGTCAACTGGGAGCTCTGGAACAGGATCCAGAGGAGTTACCCTGAGGAGTGCGAGCGAAGGGTCAGTGGGCAGGATTGGCATGAGGAAGGTAAGTCCTAGGGTGTCTGAATTTTGGGGTTTGGGACAGGAGGAGCAGTGGGAGGCAAGTGTGTTGCTGCTGGGCCATGCAGGGTTGTGGTGGGCTGTGAAAGACACAAGTTGTGCCAACAGGGAATGAATCCTAGAGAGGTTTGGGTTGAAAGGGGCATTAAAACTCATCCAGTCCCACCCCTGCCTTGGGCAGGGACACCTTCCACTAGCCTAGGTTGCTCCAAACCCTGTCCAAACCTAGATGGGGCAGCCACAGCTGCTCTGGGCAACTTGTGCTGTCATATTTTCTTTACATACAGTGCTTTGAAAACAGGACTGCTCTTGCCACTCTGTAACACAGCACTTTGTTATTGTGTAAACTTTACTCCTCTGTAACACAAAGTGCTGGTTTTTTCCATCATAACACTTGATTCCAGTGAAATCATTCCCGTGTTTTCAATGCTGTCATTCCCAGGATAGGGTATGGAAGTCACCTGTGGTTAAAGTCTGTCCTTGTTGACTATCATGATCTTGCTTTGTTCCTTACTTGGGTTTTTCCCCTCTCCATCAGTCTGTGTCCCCCGGCCATGTCACCAGCTGAGCAAGCCTGGGGAGCTGAGGCAGGAATATGAAGCAGAGATTAGCAAGGTAAGTCCAAAAATACGTTTAAAAGCATAGATGCCTTGTATGCAGTTGTTTGAATTGTTCCCTCAAACAGCTGGGATGTTTATTAGTGAGAAGGAAATATGCTTAAAAGGGCAGTGCAGCTGCACCAGACCTGAAGCATGGGTCAGATTTATGGGAGAGGAGAGGCTTCCTGATGTTTGACTTGCCTCCTTAATTTCCCTCCCTATGTAACAGAGCATAGTTAAATGAGCTTCAGCAGTGAACATACAGCATTTTATTTCTTCATGGCCTGTTTAAGGATCCTGCTTCCAATTCAGTATTAGGAATTATAGTTGTAAACAGGATGGGAATGCTCCTTTCCCTGCCAGCCCCTTGCAGGGGTTACAGGGGCAGTGGGGCTGGGAGGGGTTTCCAAACTCCCTTGAGGAAATCCTCCAAACCCAGTGAGGAAAGCATTATTCCATGCTGAAGGGCTTTGCTGTCCTCGTGGAGTTGCTGGAGACTGACCTGTCCATGGGCATGTGCCATGAGGGAGACACATGTAAAATCCTGGGGCTGCTGCTCTGGGCTTTGTGTGTTCCAGTAGAGCAGCAAGACTGTTCTGTGCTGTCTTTGGGACAGAGAATGATACGAGCAGGTGGAGCAAACACAGTGGAAGAGCTGGCATCCAGCCTTAGACAGGAGCTTAATCTCAGTTCCTCTGGGGATCTACATGTGTGGAGATCTTGATTTTTGTTGCTAACTCCCTGAGAAGTTGAGGAATGGATTGAGCCTTGCAGGTGACCGAGGTCAGTGGTGCAGTCTCACAGGTGGCTGTGGCCAAACCCAAGGCTCTACACACAGCCTCAGGTCCATTCTTACACCTCTGGAGTGTCGCTCAGCGCTGGCTCTGGATTTCGTGACCAGTGGCTGCTTCAGGCTCAAAGAGCACGAGTTGAGGGGGTGTGGTGAGTAGTGTGGTCCTGCAGGAGTGACCAGCTGGATTGTTACCCCCCCTCTTCCAGGTGGAGGCAGAAAGGCGAGCGGAGGAGCAGGAGGAGAACAAGGCCAGTGAGGAATACATCCAGCGGCTCCTAGCGGAAGAGGAGGAGGAGGAGCAGAGATTGGCAGAGGAGAGAAGGAGGGAGATGGAGGAACAGCTGAAGCAGGATGAGCAGTTGGCCTGGCAGCTCAGTAACAGCCTGGTGAGTTAGGATCGAGGGGACAACAGAAAACCTTGGTATAGTGCAAACAACTTGGGCTTCTCCCAGCAAAGGCTAAACTTTGGAACCATTTAGACTGGTTTTATTTGTAGCTGGAGGCTGTGGTCAGCCCCCAGTGCTTCAGAGCCCTGGCTGGCTGTTCATTTCTGAAGAGGCAGTGGGAGGGTGAAGTACCCCGAACATTTCTGCCCATGTGATTGACACTTGAAATCCAGCACTCAGCTGTGTGTTTGCCTTGGGAAACATCTGAAAACATTGAGTTTCTCTGAAGTGCTTCCTGTTCCCCATGGTTTTAAAAACCCTTCTTTGGAATAAATGGATGGCTGTGAGCTGTACTGGAAAAAAGGAATGTGTGGTAGGAGTTTGCCTTATCTTTTGGGGTGTTTTTGTTTAATTTGTTTTGGTTGGCTGGGTTTTTGATGAAACCTGTGTGCTTATATGAGCAAAACCTGTTGTCCCTTAGTGCTGCATCCAAGAAAGTGTACAGAACATGTAACAGAGTAAGATTCCATTACTTACAGCTCTGAAGTTCTTTGGGTGAAAGTACCTAATTCTGCAGGAGAAACAAAGTAGTTACCTGGGGTTTCTGCTGTGTGTGTTGTGTTCCTCTCACTATCCTGACTTTCCTTGTGGCGGCAGAATGAGGATTCTGAGGGAGATGTACTCACCTGCCCATCCCCAGCACACAACCTCTCATCCCAGGCATCCCCAGCACACCTGGGCAAGGCAAAGTGCAAAACAAGCAACTCTGGAAGCATCCAGAAGTAAGTGATTCGGGGTTTTCTTCTTTAATGATCTGTCCCTTTCTTGGTGTGGTGTCTCTCTGCTCTGTTCAGTTCTTTGGAATCCTGGAGTCCAGCTTCCATGGATAGCCTGGGACTAGTGTGAAGTGTTGAAGGTTAAAACATGTCTTCAAAGGGGGAGAAGGGAAGCACTTGCCCTTCTTGTTTTGATTGAACCTGAAAATCGTGACTGATGCAGAAGACTGACAACTAAAAACAAATTTAAAAGGTACAATTCTTTCCTTCTAAGGTATCTGTCTCCAAGGAATCAAGGTACGTTGGGATCAGCATCGTTCCCGGGAGCAGCAGGAAGGGACAGGAGCGACTCTAGCTCTGTGGTAACTGGAATCTTTTTGTTGTACATCTCAGTGTGGGTAATTATGGGATATTTTCCCCTTGCCTAGAGGATCCCAATCCTCTCTTCCCCTCACACATCAGAGCTGGATAGGTTACCTTGCCCTTTTTGAGCTACCTGCAGTATTCAGGATTCCTCAGTTCTGGAGCTCACTGGAGGAGGGTGCACCCTGATT